TGCGGCTCTGCGAGCCAAATCTCTTTCTCCGTAAATTTCAGTCTTGCGCGCTTCAGCCTGTTGCAAGCAGTCGACATATGTCCTAAACTTGACAATCTCCCGGAGGAGGTAGGCGCTCTTGCGCTCCCAATTTGCCATGGCGCGGACGGCGTTGTTGCCGCGGGGTGTAAAGGCGAGCAACATTGGGCTGCGAAGCTGGTTGTGCGTCTGGAGCTCGTCTTCGATGCCCTTGACATAGGCAAGGAGACTCTCCAATTGCTCCTCTTCTGGTAGGTTACTAGGCCGCATGCTTTGAGTTGGAGGCGCCCATTCGGCAACGTGAATCCTGTCACCAGGCAACTTATTGCCGCGGCTGGATGCGCTATAAGGGCCTCCGGAACCGTGGTCCAGTGAAGCGGCTGAGCGGAAACTGGACATGCTAGGTCGAGGGTTTCCGGCTGTACTGCTTCCGGGTCGTGAGTTGGAACGTTGGCGACCGGTCGACGGTCCCACGGTCTGTTCGTTGATGGCCGTTACGAGCGCGTTGTTAATGATGGCATCGCTCCAGCCGTACTCAATATTGCTAATGCCGCCAACCAGCGGGTGCGTGCTCAGACGCGCACTCCAGTAGTTGGCCGTGGTCACAAATTCCTTGCTGATCTCGGGAGTTCCGACTTGGAACAAATGGACGGCACCCGTGGGCAAGCTGAGGGCCCAGACGTGAGGGCGAGCTCTCGAGTAACCAGGCGGTGGCAGCGTAGATGCTAGAGTCTGTCGGAGGCTGAAGGTGCCCAGGTTAGTAGCATTTTCCTGCCAATTGCCACCTCCAACAATGGCCGGGCCCTTGGTTGCGGTGCGACCACGGCCCTTGCGTCCCGTCTTATTAGTGCCAAAGGAAAATATACTCATTTGGCCTCTTTGGATGACGGCGAAAACCTCGTTCCAGTGACGGTCCTTGGCCTTCTTCTCAATGCCATCCAAGTGGTGCTTGTGTATCACCATACCTTCCTTTACCCATGGGGGACCGGCGAGTTCTAGCGATTCGTCGTCGAGAAGTTGCGCGGGTTTGAGTTCGTCGCTCATGATGGACGGCTCCTTCCCGTGACCGGATTCATCATCACGGATGACGGCCTGGCTAAGGGCGTTGGCAAATCCGATGGACTGTTGATAGTCGCCTCCACGGAATGACGAGCTGAGCGAATCCACAGACATCGATGTTTGCGTTCGGCCCAGCGAGAGCTTACTCCACGTTGCCGACGAAACTGTAGGGCTCCAAATGGAATTTCCGTCCTCGAAGCTCGTTCGCGACGAAGAGAAGCCCGGATTGCCCATACGAGGTCGCGACCTGCTCTTCGAATTCCATCTGGATGAATTGGCACGGCCATTTTCAGCTATGCGCCCACGCATAGATGCCTGACTCTCAGACGGGGCCTTACTCAGAACACTAGGCGTTCGCTTTAGCATACCAATGACAGAGAGGCTGCTCTGGGGGTTGGGCGCCAGGTTCTTGGAGGGATCGGCGCCAAAGAGTGGTAATCGTTCGTCGCGGATCGAGGCGTAGATGTCCTTGAGGACGACTTCGACCTGGCTCTCCCAGGCTCGCATCGAACCGTCGAACGGCGCCTTCACTAAGGGCCCGCACTCGTCGTGGCAAGGGTCTCCGGACCCGTCTCCCTCGTTTCTCGGCGGCGGTCGGAATGACAGTCGGCGCGACGAAACGAAGCGCTCTTCGATCGACGGCCTGGATTCGTCGCCTCCGAGAGCGCTGTTGGATTTACCCGGTAGAATCGTCGGTCGCTCAAAAGCATCCGGGGCCGCCTCAATCACCGCCTGAGTAATTGTAGTCATGGTATTCTTGACAAACTGGCTCCGTGTCATCTTGTGCTCGATGTCAGCCAGGTGCAAATCAGTGTTGAGCAGCATGATTGAATAGCAGATTGTGTGAATGACATCTGTAACATGTTAGCCTGGGCTCTTTTTGGGAGATGTGGAACACAATGACAACATACCGGAAGCCTTGAATCCGTGGTTGGTGTTGCAATCACACCAACGCTTGGAAAAGGCAACGAGGATACGATCAACCTGCTGTGTCTCTGCTCTAAAGACAAGCCGCTCGCAGATCAAGCGGAGACTCTGCAGAATGCTCTTATCGGTAAAGTCATACAGATCCATGTACGCTAGCAAAGTTCTCTGCCGAACGGGACCTTCTTCGCCCATCCACGCAGCGGCCTTCTCCTTCTGGATGAAGTCCTCATTACCATCAAAGATCTTTTGGGCCTTTTGGCGATCATCTTCCGTTGGGTCTCCGACGATAAAGTCGGGCTCATCCAGAGGCTTGGTGCCCATGGCCTCAAATGTGCCGAGGACCTTGGGGCTATTCTCCGTGGTTTCGACGCGGACACTGGGGGTGCCACTCATCGCAGATTTGTACTCGGTGGTGGTAGACCCTGACGCTCGACTGGCGGACCTAGTACCCTCCATTGGCAAGATTAGTGTTGATTTATTGCCTTCTTCATCCGAGTCTGCATTAGCGACTGCGAGTCTGTTGTTCTTCCTGCCTCTAATGGTGTCATCCTTTCGGTCTGAAAGGCGCTTCCGAGACGGAGACTGGTCTTTGCTCGTCTTGCCGGACCGGTGGCCCCTATCCTTTCTTGACTTGCCTCGCCTCGACTCAGTATCTGCCTCGTTGTCACTGCCATCGATGTCGAGGAAGGAATTGTTTCGCTTTTCGGCCGATGTAGGGGGCTCTGGAGGCGGTCTAGTGGGCGTATCGGTTCGGCGTTCATGCTCTGGCTGATAATCATCGTCATCGTCACGAGATCCTGGACGAACTTCTCTTATCCGTGCATTGGGACTCGGGTCGTACTCGGGGGAGAATGATCGAGGTTGTTCGTCGGCTCTTTCGCCATGCGAAGCTGGAGCGGAATCGGAGGCCATTTCGGAGTAGGCAGATTGCATGGGAGCAGATTGGGGTGTCATCGGCGTAATTGGCGTCACCGGGCTACCTTTAAGGTACGGGTTCATAACCCTCCGCAGACTGCTGATTGGGCTGGGCTCAGGTTTCGCAGAAAGCTTGTCCTTGGTGACGGACAACTGGATTGGGGCCACCAAGGGGGGCATTGGAGGCTCGAGAGTGGCAGCAGCTGGCACAGGAGGGACCTCATCGGCGGTCACAGACTTCTTTCTGCGACGGAAGAAGGAGCTCGGTTTCTTTTGCAACACGTGATGATGGGAATGGGACGAGGACGTGTCCCTCGAGGGCGGGGCGGGAGCGGATGGCTTCATCTGGTTTGCAACGTGCAGAGATCGGTTCCCGGACCTCTGATCAACAGAATCCACCGATGTTGACGACGTTATGCCTGTGGAATTTTGCGTCTCGGGCGGGTTGTTGGAGGCATTGCTTCTGGACGAGCCGAAGACTCGCCTGAAAAACCCCGGTTTTTCTTTTGTTTGCTGCGACGGTGCCTGTGTCGGAATCGGAGCTGCGTGCACGGGCTCTTTTGTCTTGCCGTAGCCCACGTGTGGCGCGGGTGCCGATTCCGACTCAAATGCCGAGACGGGTGCGGTTGCTGGCGATGATGCTGGCGCAGCTGAGGATGCCGGAACAGATGAAGGCATTGGGGGCACTTCTTCGCGCGCGGTGCTGGACTTGTTTTTGTTATGGTTGTTGTCTGTCCTGCGGCTTGTTGATGTGCTTTTTGCGGACCGAGTCGACCGTTTGCGTTCGAGGGCAATAGGCGGCGGCTCGACTGGCTCCACAGCCACCGTCAGTGGTGCATGCGCGGATGCGGGCGTGGATGCGGCCGCGGGCGGTTGGGGAAAGGCGGCGGCAGGGGGTGTCACGGGCGGCATCACGCGTCGGGGGCCCCCAGGCACCGTAGGCGTCGGCGCAGCATCGTAGTCGTCGGTGAAGAAGGTATTGGAGAATTCAATGTGCCATGGCGCTCCATTGGCTTGTTGTTGCGTGGCCTGCAAGGCCGGGGGGCGATGACCATGATCGAAGCTCGAGGATCTGCCACCGAAGCCGGAAGCCCATCTCGTGCTGCTGAGGACTTGGGCATAGCCGGCATCTATGCTGTTCGAGCTACTGCTCCTTGTGCTCCCCTTGCCGCCTCGGGAGTGCATGTAGCGTGAGGAGTTGGCGGTGCTTCGCAGCGGCTCGCGCATACTGCTGATGCGATGCAGGCCAGGTTGAAAGTTGGAGCTGCTGTTGCTCCTTCTACCCCGAGAGGAAATTCTGCTCGCATCGTCCGCGTCAAAGTCGGAGCTGTAAGAGTATGTGTGACCGGGGCGGCCGCCTCGCATTGATCTGGAGAAACCGTCTCCATCGGTATCGTATTGATACTGCTGCGGTGGCTCGTCTTGCATATTTGGGGGGCTACTGCCAAAGGGACCGCCGACTGGACCGCCCATGGAGAACTGGTCGAGAGACATGAGCATGTTGGCCATGAGAGAGTCGCGCGTAACGTTCCGCGGGGACAGGGAAAGATCGTGGGAATCGCGGGGGCGAGATTGGTCGGGGGTATCGTTCTCTTTATTCGAGGACATGTCGAAGCTGTCGGGCGAATCAGGAGTATCTACTAGTGAGGAGTCGTCGGCATGGCGAGAGAGGGCAGGGCCTCTGAGTGCCCGAGAACTGCTGGATTTGCCCTTGGCGACGGATGAGGATGAAGTCGGCGGCGGCGGCCTGTTCCTGTTGCTCGGCGGTGTCTGAGGAACTGGAAGCGCGGCGGTAGGTTCTCGTGACGCGACGGCGGCGGCGGCGGTAGTGGGCCTGCTCGAGTGGGTGGCAGGTGGAGGAGAGATGTTGATGTTGAGGTCGGGACGGCGACGACTGGAACGTCTCGGGATGTCGGCGTACATGGTGAAGGAGGGGGGGGTCGGAAGCGTATCGTGGGGGTCGAAAAGAGATTTCAAGTCATTTCCAGATTCAACCTAACAAGCGCAAGCGCAAGGCGCATGTGCAGCAAGGTGCCGTAGTAGTCGCCAGTAGTAGCAGCGACCACGCGGGCGCCAAATCGATGCCGAGGTGCGGCCGCTTGAGCAGGAGTCAGGACGCGCCCCAATATTGTCCAGCGCGGCAGATCCAATGCGACGCCAGGAGTCAAGTGATCCAATCCGACGGCGATGGCTACGCCAGAGTCAGTCGACACTCGACGTCGGCCGGCGGGTTCGCAGGAACCAGAGCAGACGGCGGGCAGGCTTGCACAGGCAGACTGACGGTCAGATTGGACTACTCAGGCGTCGCAATGTCCACAAAGCCGGGTTCGGCGTCGGGGTCGGCTTTGTCTCCCGGGTGAGCGAGTCCCAACCGAGTAATGAGTGGCCGAAATGAAGACTCGAGCGAGTCCCCTTTTGGACCCTTCTTTGGGGGGGTTAGCGGGCGACGTTGCAGCAATGTTTCTTTTCTGATGGGGGCTGTTCAGGTTGCTTTTTTCTCGTGGTGCTTCTGCCGTTTTCCCCCGTTTGGCATGGGCGGGTGGGCAGTCAAGGGCCAAGAGTGCCACGAGTGCCACGAGCGCAGAAAGCGGGAAAAAGAGCGCGGGAAGGTTTGATTATGTATTAGTCTCCGTAGTCCGGAGGGTGTATTCGTACTAGTTGTGGTAGTATCGGGACCGGATACAGAGTAGGCGAGTGTTGGTGGGTAGTGACGGGTCTTGAATGTTGGTACGATGCTCCGAAAGGGGCGATGGATGCTACCCTCAATCTTCCCCTGACCTAGGACTTGCTAGGCTCTGGACAGATGGTGGTGATCGGCCGTCGTCGGGGGGGAGGGTGGAGGGCGAGGGTGGAGGGCGAGAGCGAGGACGAGGACGAGGGGGTGTGTGTGTGATATGTGTGGTGTGTGTACGGATATCTGTGTCTATGTTTGTGGTGGTTCACTTGTGGATTGTGCTAGAGGTCGGGGTGGTGTTGGCAGTGGGCGGACCTAGGGTCAAGAAGTACCTTATTATTAGTTGGAGTTGGCCGTCAAAGTACGTAGGTCTGGTCTGCGTGGTAGACTATGTATGCGTAGCGTGCGAAGTAGTATGCGTATGGCAAGGTGAATGGATGGTGTGCGGTAAGGGACGGTATTCGTAGATGCAGGTGTGCAGTCGTCACAGTTTTGATGCTCTACGGTGCCGGTTCACCGGGGTGGTTGGTTGCTTGGGTTGCTTGAAGCACAAGCAGTCAGAGAAGGGAGGCGGCGAGACAGATGAATGAATGGATGGGTTTGTTGACTTTCACCCTACCACGGTATTCATGAACAGTAGCTGAATTAGCCATGAATCACACGTGGGAAAGTTGCAAAAAAGGAAAAGAAGCAGAAGGGAAGCAGAGGAGGGATGGAGCCAAGCACCCAAGCTACCCGTAAGTTGCAAGCAAGCACCACGTTCAGGTCGAGGTAATTAAGGTACAGATACTACAAGGAAGGCTAGGTCAAGCAAGGCATGACAAGGAATCTTGTTGATGCGGGCCGGGGGGGCTACCAGGGGGTTGGGATATACAACAGAGATGTGGTGGATTGCTCCGAATAGGAACAGGAACTGAGTTTACCTTACCTTGAGGTAGCCCAGTCAAGTACACTACTGTTAGGGCAACGAGCAACGGCCAATATCTCGGGCAGGTATTACTGTGGCCCGCCCACCGGGACATTTGATTTGTGATGTTTGATATCAGCTGCAGAATTCTGTGCAAAGTCACGAAAGGATCCGTAATCTGTCAGGTAATTAAACGTAGCGTCCGTGTTGCTGCTGCTGCTGCTGCTGCTGCTGCTACTGCATGTCTTGAGACTCTGTGCGGACCTGCATATTCGCAGACATTGTGCGATGCTCGCAATTACACCAAGCATGCGACACGACAGACACACCAAGGTAGGGTACATCGTGGTACCGTTAGCAGGATGCAAGTGATACGGAACTCTTCTCTCGGTCGGTGTTGCGGCTTGCGGCTTGCGATGCGTCCCTGTCCCTGTCAAAAGTTGGGCCCAGGCAAGAGAAACACCAGACGAGACGATAATAATAACAATGTCAATACCGATGCAAGGGCAAGGGCAAGAGCAAGAGCAAGAGCAAGAGCATGAGGGAGCACGGACGCCAATATTCCACATCATCATATCCGTATCGGATGCTGAATGAGGACAAGGACGACGATGATGGCATCAATATTTGCTTTCCACTTTAATCCGGGGGCAATGGAAGTACGGATGGTGAGGTATCTTACCTTAGTTGCGTGTACATAAGGTACCTCCTACCTAGGATTCGCAGATGTCCTGGAGGAATTGACAACGAACCACGGTTGGTCTTTCCTGCTCCTCATCCGACATGCATCCCCGCTCTTCTGCCTGGCACCTGCTTTCCTCTACTGTCCTGAATTTTGAACTGCACCTGCCTCATTCCTCATCTACCTTACCTTACCTCACCTTACCTGCCCTATAACACAGCAAGTACGTATTCGCAACCCAGAAAACAGGAAAGACTCGACGCATTGAAGCTTCCTCGTCGGGTCATTAACCCCCAGAAAAGTTGGACTTGCCACTGGCTTTGCGACATGTGGTCAAGAGTCACGACTCACGACGCACCTTCCATGTCATCGGGGAACATTGGGAAAGCCCCCCCCAGACCCCCGGCCCCCGGCCCCCGGGCCCCAAATTGGTGCTATGTAAAGAGTCCTCTGCTCCTGCAGGGGTTCTCCTTTTCGCTGCTTTCAAGTTTGGCCTTTTCTTTTACCCCCCCTTCCTTTCTTCTTTTGTTTTTGGTAGCATTGATTTCTTGGTTTCTCAAGAATGCTCCGTTCTTACTTCAATCAGGTCTTCAAATTGTTCATTTTTACCGCCCGCGAGAAACAAAAGCTTTAACCGCTTCACCTCCATTTTCCTGCAGAGCACGTCCAGTTCCCTCCTGGCGCCCGCAAGCCTACCAATCACCGTCATGCTAATTTCCAGAACGACATTGGCCCTTGGACAGCAACCACTTCGCGCCATTGATCCTAACCTGTCTTTGCAGAAGCAGCAATCTGCTACAACCATCATCAACAAGAACCCATGCCACCGGAAACTTTCAGACCGTACTATACATAGTAGACGCCGTCGTGGCACTTCAACACAAAGCCGGCCTGCGAGACACGAGACACGAGACACCACAAGCGCCAGACAACTTGACACTGGCCGACGGCAGACTTGCCGCCTTGGACTACCTACCTTAGCCTCCTTTTCTGACGGGTCACACCCTGTCACGTCTGCGCTATCCCTCTTCCACCGCGCCAACCAGAATTGTCCAGAAAAAGGGGACAAGAGGAGACAGGGCTGCAGGGGTAATGCAAGATGCAGCCATCCCACCACCACTGCTCTCGCCCCAAAAGAGAAGCCAGTTCCAAGGGGGCCCCAGGCCGCCGTCGGGGTTCGTGAAGCCGTCGCCAAGCGTTGATGACTTGGAGGGGGAAAGACGGCACAGAGTCTTCCACCGTGGCTGGATGCTCATTACCGATACCACCTCGAGCTGTAGCGGGACTGACAATGTTTGTCTGTCAAAACGAACATCAGCCGCCTGGGTCTCGGCCATATCATGCTTCTCGGGACCGACCCTTGATGATAATCCCAACCCACGATGTGGATACTTTGGCACATCCACCCTCCGTGCCTCCGAGAAGATGGCTGTCAGATCTCAACAGCACATCCATTGCCACAGCCGCACCAAAAAAAAAAAAATTCACTGCACTGACCTTTACAAAAAAGGACTGAAAATCCGCAGGCTTCCACTCGCTGAACATGGCATATCCCTTTCGCCGAATCGTCTTATCATGGCTGTTAATGTCGCGAGCCCGACCTTGCTTTGCCTTTCTTCCCGTCCACGCATACCTCCACTGCCTCGGCCTCCCTCGATCCTATCGTGTCCAATCGCACTCTGCGAACACGCCCACTCATTTGCGCCCACTTGGAAGCACATGCAGACACCCATGGGCTTCCCCTGAATTGATGCAGACACCAACTTCTGGCATCCAGAGGCCCGTGCCATACGTAGGATTGCGCCACTTTTCCGCCACGTCGTCCTCGTCGCTTATTCGCCTGCCGCAACACCCACCCTCCTGTCAGTGGTTACCATCACTAAACCCTCCAAAACCTCCGCCCTCAGACCTCCACCCACACCTGACGGCCTGCTGGCGAAGCGAGTGTCCATCGTGGGATTACAGGACGACGGGATGGAACATAGTCTGGGCCTCGCGGGCCTGCTGTGCGAGGGGCCGGCGTGGACCTGCATCACGAGGCCTATGACAGCCGACACCAATCGCTACCAAGTTACCAACGGCGTTTGCAACCTTCTTTGAGAAAAGATGTTCATTCTATGAAGGCGCATTCAGGGACCTCTAGCTTCCAGGGTCCTCATGTTCGCCTCGAGCATTGCAGACTCGTTCCGCGCTACTGATCACAGCGACATCGTCTTCCTCTGCCGTTGCTCTCCAAAAACGTCATCAGGGATTCGTCCATCTTGCTGATCTGCCTGGCCCCCAACTGCCGATGTCTTAATGAGGATGGTGAATAAGTGTCCATCATTGGCCCTGCGAGTCTCCGACACCACCTTTGGCGGCGGAGTCGAGGCCGACGCGTTGCTGACCATCTGGCTCGGTAGTATATGGATGGACAGCATCTCCTCACACGCTCTACCAATGGCCTCGCTCAGCCGCGATTGCAAACCAAGAAACTTCGTGCTACACTAGAGGCTGCAACACACCGCCTTCGTACAGCCGTCGATGCTTTGCAACACGTTCAACGGCACAACGGGTGAAGGTGTCCCGGCTACCACACCACCACGAGCAGCATCTCCCGGCGTCATCGCCAGGCGGTTACCAATGGCATTCCAACGGCTCTGCCTCCAATCTGTACATCTGCGGAACACGACATTCTCCCTGCTTCATTGACCAACAATTCCCACTTCAAGTAAGGTGTGCTCGGGCCCCCATTCCCACTCGCATCCAAGCCCGCCTTTTAGCGACTCAATCTCCAACACTGGCGGCCCCCATCCTGATTGATGTTCGCGCTAAATTGACAAAACCTAAAACACACCGACCGAGCTTCCATGTCATCAGTTTGCTTGCCGGCGTTCGTCAACTAGACCCTTCACCTCCAACGTCAAGTCAACGTGTCAAAGCGCAACCCGTTCGCATTCCACAGCCTGCCTGCGTGCTTGCATGGCGAATAGCCTTCGGCGGATCGCTCAATAGCATCTAGCTTTTACCCCTTCGCCGCCAACCCGGCATTGAGACGGTGCCTCCACGGGCCCCCTCTTAGCGTGTCAACCCTTCGTGTCGAAGCACGAGGATTTCTATCAGTCAGCCAATCTTACCAAGGCAGTTGGGGTTACACGCTGTCCATAAGTTGAATAGCGCAATATCTCGAGAGACTAGAGCAGATTTCTCACAACAGCTCGGGTCACTCGAGAACTGTCATTTCCAACTTGCAGCTCCGGGATCATGATCTTCTGAGGATGGGCCGGCTCACTCGATCAGTAGATCGCCAACGCCCTCCATGTTCGGCTGAAAAGTCAAATATCGCATTACATGCGAAGCGAGCTGCAACTCCCCAGATCATCCCCGCGAGCCACCTCTCCGTGGTCCTCGAGACGACGTCGCCTGCTGTCAGCGCCGTCTATTCGGTCCTGGCACGTCCGCGGCGGCACCCCACTGCAAGGCCCATCCCAACTTCGGTCTCAAGTTGGCTACATGACTTGTTCACCTTCCTCCCTTGCGCATTGCGCAAGTTGTACCTAATTACGGTCCACAGCTGCTTATCGATCCCCAACTCCGCTTGTGACCACATTCAGTCTCTTGCCTGTAGCGTCGAGCTCTAGGTCACTTCATGCTGCAGTCGTCTTCTAGAACTAAGGTTTCTCTAGAACTACGGTTTCGGCAACCGGAATGCTCCACCTGTTGGCTTGACTCTTCCCATCCGTCTCACCTCTTGAAGTTAGCAGGTTTCAAGCAAAAAATGTTCGTGCTCCGAGCACACACGAGCAATGTGACTATCGCCACCTTTCGGAGACCTCCTCCGAGTGCGGCTCGTATCTGCAATTCTCAGCTGGGGGCCATCGCGTCGGGGTACCCGTCGGTGCATACGGAGACGACGAAATCTCGCGTCGCGACGGAACCGAGTGGTTGGCTTGCGACGGTGCTGCTCGGGGGGGTGGGTGAGCTGTCAAAGTTGACGGCGTCATGGTAAAGAGTCCTGCGTGAACGGACGCCCGGGCATTACGTCTCGAAGGCCCTCGTTATCTGGAGGGCTCTGTCACGTTATTCATGCATGTCCTTCACATCTCTGGCGAGGTGCCGCATTCGTCTGTAAGATTATGAGGATGTTCACAATAGCCAGCCTTCCGGGTGGACCCTTTAGGTTATTGATACATACATGCGTCTGTATATCAGCAGTGGAGATCATTCGAAAACGTCTTTCATACTGGTGCATTTTGAACGTTGAAGCATGATGCTACTATTTGAGATACTCGCATTTAGTCCTCTTTGACGTATAATCTTTCAACTGTGACGATACGCATCTAACCAGTCCTTTCTTGAGTCCTGGTCTATGGGGGATCGGCTATGAAGACACCGAATATGTGTCAGGAATCTTCAACTTCAAACAACGCTACCTTTATAATACTGCGTCGTATTATGCACCAGCGCCAGCATACACTATACAAGTCACATATCAGAATCACCCAAGAAAGCTACCAAAGAGAGCGGCAAGCAATCAGGCCAGCTAGAAGGCGATGAAAGCATCATCAATCTTTGTCCGCCTCGCGCATCGCGACGAGTCCCGCATCGTGGGCCTTCACTTCGTCCGGATCCGATGCTGTCCTCTCGAGGTTCGCCTCGGAGACCGGATTGGTGGAACTCATTGGACTTTTCTCGTCGGTAATGGTCGTACTTGTTGAGTCGGCCCCGGCCCTCGTGAATGCCTGCTAAGCAATCGAAGAGATCGCCTGCGTCGACTAGACCACCTGTGAGACCCATGCCGCTAGTGAATAAGGGGCCGAGGGAAAGCCAAGATGTTAGAGAGCACTACTTCTTAAGAGAAAAGGGGTGGGAAACGCCGTGTGTTCCATCCCTACCAAAGAGTAAAGGTATTGGACACTGACCAAAAATCATACAATTACGTCGCAACTCCAGCGAAAGACACCGTGCCGTCCGGCTTTCTCCATCGGGCGCCACCTGTTTCAATGCCGTGCTCGCGGACTCGGTCGAGCAGGCCGGCATCCTGGGGGACTCGGTTTACGGCCGGGCCGTGGCGGGTCGCGCGGGGCTGGGTTTCGAGCTATGAGGCCATATCGAGGCATTCTATGCGGATGCTGTGGCGGGCTAGGAGGATGGAGAGGGCTAGGCCTGTGACTCCGGTGCCGACGACGATCATCATTGTTTTTTAAAGGATGTTGTTAGTAGATACCAAGGTAGTAAGTGGTCCATTTGATTTGTGCCGTGAAGCGGTGAGGAGCTTATCTGGTTCAAACCATGATCTTGGTGAGATGTCATGTCTGGCGAAGTCGAACGAAAAGAATCCCTTTATGAATTTAGTTCCTCTTTTTTGAGGTGATTAGATTTTGGGAAAAGACGAGAGAAGTAAGTTACCAATAGGTTTTGGTTACAATTCGTCAAATCTTTGTGGGTTCTCTTGTAATTACTGAGACACTCCTGAGTTACCCTGATATCCATTCGCTGCCGCATCATGGAACCCTCCTAGTGGGATCTCAAGAACTTATATTCGTAGTTGAAAGCAACCCTCTCCGCGGCAACTGTGGAGAACCTCAGTGGCATATGTTCTCCAGAAAGTGGCAGTGCGGGATGTCCAGAGACATATCAGATTATGGGGTAGCAAAGTGGGATGATGTCGGGAGAGACAGTTCGGGTGACGCTAGTTTCACGGCAGGGGAGGGGCTTTGTGTGGTTCTTTGTGAGAAGACGCATTATAGATCCACAAGTGTAGGTGAGCTTTCTTGGCACGTACCGAACTCTTGGGTTTGCAGGATTTAGCTGTGCGAGATGTCCTTCTCTCGGGCTATTCCACCTCTGGTGGAAATCTTGGCCACGCCCCTCCCCACATATCATTATCGGGATCTGCGGGAGGGTGTGGTCCTTGGGAGGAGTTTCTCATAGGCTCCTGTGAGAGAATATCACAAGTGTTGACCTTTTTGGTTTTGAGGCGGCTCTGATATCAAGGCTAAATGCATTTTGCCTCTGGCCTGCTCTATGCCTGCTTTCCAAAGGAGATCTTATTCGACTCGTTTCGAATCTCACTCTGTCTCATCCTGCCAAAAATGCCCTTTTCTGACATTGAACTTCTACATTTTCACTCAAGTACACGATAATAGACAGAACCATGGAAAACGTCCACAACATCAACTTCAAATGCGCAGATGTTCCGCACGCGATCCCTCCTTGGAGAGACTAGAAACGCGCCTCCATGACTTTGCCAGGGAGGTCCCGCCTCAAGACGGCAGAATAGAAGACCGCCATCGGTTTCCTGGCAGATGTCGGCGAGACCTACACTGGCGTGCGGCAGGAGTTTGCCCTCCTCTCCGACGTGCTCGGCCTCTCACTGCTCGTCGACTCTCTCAACCACCGTCTTACCGAGGATACCGTGCTCGGTCCGTTCCACACAGATGAGGCGAGGGATTTCCGCCATGGCTCACTGATTTCGGGAGATTTCGAGGGAGTACTGGTGTTTGTTGTGTGTACGGTTGGTTGCCGATTCCTGGTATCAAGATTTGATGTGCGGGAGACGGATTCCAAGGGGTTCTATGACGTCCCAGTACGCTGGATGTGGTAAACCGGATGGACGAGCCGTTGTGAGAAGGGATAGCTTCGGGCCGTTCTTCTTTCAGGTGACCGTGCCGGTTTTGTATGTGATTCCCAAGGATGGGCCGTCGTCAAGCTGCTGGAAACGCTGGAGCGGCATCGACACCGACAGGGTCATTTTCTTTTCTGGTTTGATAATCCTGTTCATGACCGGCTCATCATTTAAGTTCTCACTTACGGCCAAGTCACACCGGGTCCTCTGAGTGAATATGCTGACTTTTGGTGAATAGCGTTGTATCTCCGCGGGGCCCCGTTTGAGATGTCTGATGCGGATTTGAGGGTCAAGGACTCAGGAGTGGCTTATTGTGGATTTGAAGACTATCTCGGTTAAGTGAGAAAATGGTGAATATACAATAGCGAAGAGTCTTCCTCACTATAGTCCTCATTACCAATCAACAAAACTCTTATACTCCGAAATGGCATCCACTTTTCAAAGTCAACATGCAAAACAGCCATGGCGGGATGGTGGTGGACATGACGAGCATTTCATGCCGCTGACCCCCGCTGGCCAAACTTCAAACCCGACTAGGCGAAGCACGCCATCTTCTGTCAAGGTCCTCGGAGCGTTCAGCTTCTGGATGAGGTGAATGACAAAGGCGTCCGGGAAATCAAGTTCATGCGTTATAAGGAGCTCTCAATCGACGGTACTAAGTTCCTTGGTCTGAGGCAAGGGCTGAATCACCCCTTGATCGATGAGGTCGTGCCGTTATACCTCTGCTGTAACAAACTCCTGCTGTGGTCCTAGAACGAGAGAACCCCCTGAAACCTCTTTCGGGACCTCGAACCTGCTTGGGACATGGAACCAAGGCTAACACCCCGTCAGCATATCAACATCACGCGTCCCGGAGGCATGCCCCAGGTCCGTCACTGCGACCAAGGCATCATGGGCCACGGCCGTACCAAGCCCGTTGCCCTCAACATCTCCTTGCTCCCGTGCAACTTCACCGAGAAGAATCGCGGCACCCACACCTTCCCCGGCTCGCACGAGAAGAACGTCAGCCCGCGTAACATCTTCACCAGCGAGAGCACCCTCGCCTACGAGGCGTCTACCGGCACCGCCATAATCTTCGAGAGCCCCACCTTGCACGGCATGGGCCGCAACACTGAGATCTCTGGGGGGAGGGCCTGCGTGCCGAGCATCTTCACCCACCCGGCCGTCCGGGCCAAGGAGAACACTTTGCTCTCGCTCAGCTGATACTCTGTGAGGCCGAGGACGAGCTTCTCTCGGAGCGCCGGAGGTCGATTGAGGCCCTAAGGACGGGGCAGGCCGGCGCCGGCGGCGCGCTGGGCGAGGCGTGGAAGGGCATCATCGTCAGGCGGCCGAGGTCGGAGTTCAAGACGGTGGGCAAGGTCCGGCCTTCGTATGATGATGAGGAAGTGGCCAAGATGATCTCAACCGGTTCTCATGCCAACAACGCGCAGCTGGCCGTCTGTGAGGCTGTAGGACGGGGCAAATAATGGGAGAATTCGGTATTTAAGGGATTGGGCTACCGGAATTAAATTTGGGAGAGGCATTTAGATAGCAGCTCACGCGACAACGGCAGTTGAACAACATAAGAAGAAAACTCAAGTGTTCCATGATGCTGTTAAGTATCAGCAAGAATTGTGCGATGAGAGGTGAAATGTTGTTTCCTTGTCATCATGCCTCCATAACGCCGTGCCCATTTGTAGATGAGCGCGGCTCTTACCGCGCGCCGAAATCTGACCGAAAGCGCCACGCAGCACGCTAGGAACAAGCCGTCATCACTGTATCCATGAAAGAATGTCTGACAAAGGCACGGGGATAACCTGGCGATAAGACCATCAGTCCATTGCACCGTAGATAGCATTTAAAGCCGGGCTCAGACCACGCAAACCTAGTTCGACCTACTTCATGTGGGGTCTGTGAGGAGCTTCACAGCATTAACGACAGGATTGCCATCCAGCAACGAAGATCAACAAACCTGATACTTAAAAGCTGACTGTCCACGATCGTTTGGTGTAATTTCTCTCTCATCTCAACAGATCCCAACCAAGTCCCAACAATGTCGTCAACAAAAGGCCTAGCCCTCGTCACAGGCGCGAATGGCTTCATTGGAGCCCGAACAGTTGAAGCCTTCCTCCTGGCCGGCTACTCAGTCCGCGGCGCCGTCAGATCCCCCCGGTCCGCAGCGGAGCTCACGGCCGCTCTACCCTCGCAAGCCGCATCCGGCCAATTATCAACAACCATCGTCCCGGACATCACAGTCCCAGGCGCCTTTGACGAAGCAGTCCAAGGTGTCACCTCCATAGCCCACCTCGCGAGCCCCGTCGACTTCACCAACACAAACGTCGACCAGGTCCTGGGGACCGCCGTGCAGGGCACCCTGGGCATCCTGGAATCGGCGACAAAGGTGACCGGGCTAAAGTCCTTTGTGTACATGTCCTCCATCGTGGCAATCCGGGGTTCGAGCCCCAAATTCCAAGGGCGCGTCGTCACGGAAGCGGACTGGAACGATGAGGCGGAGGAGATCCTCGCGAAAGCGGGCACCGAGGCGACGGGCCACCAGATCTACGGCGCCAGCAAGGTCAAGGCGGAACGCGCTTTCTGGGACTTTAAGGAAAAGAACCAAGGACGGATCCATTTCAGCATGACGGCGATCAACCCCGTGTGGGTCGCTGGGCCGCCGCTGATCCTCCCCGAGGACCCCAAGAAGCTGAGCGACACCGCCATCGTCGCATACCGCGTCATGAGCGGCGAGGAGGTTCCGCCAGTTGGACCTGGAAACGGGACGCACGTCGATGCCCGCGATGTCGGTCGGCTCATTGTGTTCGCCGCCGATCGGCCTGATGTGGCTGACGGGCAGCGCTTCATTGCTGGCGGAAATGGCAACTTTGCCAATATCCAAGCCTATTGCGACCTGCTGAGAAAAGCGTACCCCAATAGGGCTAACATTATCAAAGAGGGTGAGCCAGGGAAGGGATATTTGGAAGACTACGGCGAGCCACCCGAGTCGCGAAGGGTTGACGCGACGAAGGCTTCAAAGGCCACTGGGCAGGGTTGGATTCCTTTCGATAAGATGATATTGGATGCGGCGAAGGCTTATGAGATGTACTTCTAATCTTTCTTCATTGGTTCTTCCTTGAGAATATCTGACCAAACTCAGCAAGAGCCAGAGTTCTCCACTGCAATCAAATCCCTAGCGCCCTTGACCTTGACCTCTCAATCTCCCCTTTCTCGGCGGTTTCTTAACACAGCCAGGTAGCCAAGGCTCAGACCAGCAGGGTTCCTTTTCAGTCCTTAGTTTCCTGTGTCATCTCAAGATTCTCACGACAATCGAATGGTATAAGTGTATTCCTTACCATCTCCATCTAGCATGTGCAGCCGGCAATGGCGACTTCGCAGCAGCATCCATCGCCGCAGGTCGAAGGATAAGTAAAGTTAGAACAGTAGGCTGGCCGAGCCCACGCATCTAATAAGTATCAATATACCCATCATTCCCCGGCCTAACTCTGTGCCGATGACAACCTGTCCGTACAACGAAAAGAAGCATTGCCATGATGGCACTTCCATCGTCGAAAGTTTGGTTCCGCACCAGGGAACATCTGAAACATCCAGTATCATGGTTGCTAACCCCGATGATCGCGCAGCAGATATTGCGACCATCCGGAGGCTGTGTGCTAAGCGCGCCAGGCAGCCGCATAGCGGAGAGGTGGTGGCATCCTGTCGTTACCGTTCTTCACTTGTCGTCCTCCCAGAAACAGATTCAATTTTGGTGTGGGGATGGATCGATGGTGAGCGTAGCCAGTGGAGAACTTGCGTAAAACTTCCCCAGTGTAGACCGTGTCGATCTCGTTGTAATGCCGATAGTTCGAGGTCATCAGACTTTGACATGTATGCCCTTGGCCTGATTGTGGGATGTTGCATTGTCAGAGGAGAGCAGTATTCGGCTTCAGGACTCGATGAGAAGAATGGATACTTTTTGGTATCCCGGACTAAGGTGGCCCGGAAACTATTCGCAAGACTATCTCGACACTGGGTGATACCATTCTCGCTCCGACCAGGGAACGGCGCTTCTCAAACTACACCAGAGGCTCCTACACGTTCAGACGAGAATTTTTTCTGTCCATTCGGCTTCCACGGTGGCGAGGCTTCGAGTGGTCCTGTGAGCCACGGCGATGTGTGGGGTCACATCCACAGAGGGACAGAAGAGGCCCTCTTCTACATCTAGGTATGTCGACAAGGGATTCGCAACAAACGTGATGTAGCCGTGAGATACTTTCAAACGAAAAAACAGACACATAAATGTTGTCCATCATGACGCGTGTCTTTGCGTAACTCTTTGAGATCGCAGAATTGAGCGTCAGCGGGGAAGACGCGACTTGAAGACTACGACAACGACGATGAGGACAAGAGGAGGATGACCAATTTGATTGTGATAGCAAAGAAGTAGGCGATTTGACTTCTCAATCTCGTAACAGCCGTTTCCCTCGTGTTTCTGATCTTCTATATCATTGACTTTTGCAGACCTCGAGAGAGAGTGTTCAGCCACCGTCATGTGCCCCGGATGATCCTTGTGACCAGTGCAAGTCATACTTTATCGTCATAGATATATTGCCCGGGCCATTGCGGAAATTCCATAAACTGAGAACACATGGATGCTTGACAAAGGAATAATAGAGAATGAAATTACAAATAAAGAGATCATAGACAGAATTCTCCCAGACATTGGTTCCTCCTAGACATGGGATGCGTCTGCCGTATCCTTGTTCCCACGCTTTCGGGCGAGTCTGTGGAACAGATTTTGCTTCGTTTCCGTAGGTTCATCTCCTTTCTTCATTTCTGCAGAGTCATTCCCTTTCTCCACTCTTGCAGAGTCATCTCCCTTTTTCTTGCTCGTCAAGTAAAGAGTAAAAGGATCTCGATCGTTCACGTGGCCATTGGCAGCATGAAGAAAGGGCAGAGGCACCACGACTGGTATGGTAATGTGAGAAATTCCAGGCTTCGACAGACAGTGCAGGAGGTGACGTACAGATTACTACCAGAGACCACCAGGGCGCGTCAAGGAACGAGTTCACGTCCAACGCAAATAAGGAGCTGAGAAACGAGAGAGGCAACTGGAAAACGAGTTTAATAAAATAAGTCGGGAGCTGGTCAAAGCCATGGTGCATAGAAGAGACTTACAAAGAAGACGGTGACGAGGGTGAACACCATTACCCTTTTCCCCTGTTCTGCAGCTTCGGTTGCCTGTAGATTCGCAATTTCGCTCTCATATATTGTGATTGTTGTGTTCAACTACAAATCATGTAAGTGTTAGCAGTCCCTACTATTTATATGAAGAGATTCTACGTACGGCTTCTTCAGTTCTCTTGGCAAGCTTGTCGAGTTCTTCGATGTCGTTCTGAACGTTTTTGGCCGTTCCATCCTCGTCCCAATCGGCTGTTTGAGCATCGGGAACACGGGGCACAGCACCGTTCAAGTCGACTTGCACCTTTTGTTGATATCTGGCGATGGTTCTGAGAATGTTCAGCTCGTCACGAACATCCCTGATTTCGAACAGAAGCCTGGCAGCTTTCCTTGTATTTGTTTCAAAACTGGGTAGACTTGTGTTGTTGGCCCTTTTCCGCTTCGATTCTTTTGAAGAATTCTTCTGGTTCTTTGGGCCACTCTTCAGGCCAGCCAAGTTGCGGAAAAGCTCGGCTTCTTGTCTTCCCTGCATGGTGGATTATTGGTCAGGTTCCTTCAATCAGTCAACCAGTACTTAGACTCGGTGCTACAAACAATTTTGTTGATAGAATTGGAGAAGATCTGACGAATTGACCGGTTTTCCAATTCAGAATCTGCAGAGTTCTTGCCAATGTTGCCCTGGTGCCGACTTATATCTTCGCGGTCTTTCCTATAGGCCCCGATGCAGCTTTCAACAATGAATTGGCTCAATTCGATGGGGGTGCGCGGTCCACTGTCGGAATCCGTTTCAGCTCGATCGAACAATCGTTCAAGGATATGTTGAAAAAATGCGTTGCTTCCTATTCGGACATGGACTCTTGTGTCCAACTCTGCGAAGGAGGTGGATGTAATTAACCACTCTTTATCCACTATTAGCATGATACCGTGGGGCACCACTCGTACATGTGCCTTGCCTACAACTCACTATCGCGAATGGTCCAAGCCCATAGCTGGTTGACCCGGATGACTTGCCATTTGGAAAGGTTGTCTAAGCCATTCGGATGTAGGTATTTCGTAACTACTTGGTTTTCGTTTCTCAAGTCTCTGTCCTCGTGAGACGCTACATCTTCCTTGGCGAAATGGTAGTAGTGCTCGTCCAGCGTAGGAGAATAATGCACCGGTGGTGTCGTCCTAGATTTAGTCTCACTTGCGGCGGCATTGGCCGCGGTGGTCGCGGCTCTGGCTCCGTTGACTGCAGCAGTGGTTACGTTGGCGCCGGCCTCGTATCTGTCTGCAGGGTTTCTGTAGAATCCCAGCTCGAAGAATGGCATCTGGTAACGAATGGTATTAGACTCTGACACTGAAAAGTCGAGATTGTCGTTTTGTACGTAAAGTGCCGAAGCCATGCACTCAGAAGCACTGTTCTCGCCCCCTTTCTTCCCGCCCATTCCGGTCTTGGTTTCCGAACCTGTTGCAGCTGTTTTCTCTGGCCACATGTGCTTCTTGACGTATCGAGGCTGCATGAATCGCGAGGGGGATGATTTATCAGGAATTTCAACCCCACTAGTGCGCAAGAAGAACGCAATGTGATCATCTTCCTTGTTGTCGTCCAAGTTATCGGATTGGGTGGGGTTCAATATCTTGTTCATCGTGTCCTGTATGAAGTCATCTTCAGTATCAGATGCCGTGTCCCAAAGGCCAAGAAATGAAATGGAAAATGGAAAGAGGAACGCTAGACAAAGTCCATTTCCAGCACGCTTACAATCATCCAGGTCATCTGGTTCAAAATCAGCATATGGCAGGCAGCAAGGGGGGTCATATTGCTTACGTTAGTTGCTGGGAGGTGAATCCATGTGAAGTTGCTCTCTGTCCCAGGAAGCCAATACTGGGTAGACGCATTGATGTTGTGAGGATTGGATCTTTGTATCTCGTTCATCGTATCGCTGAATGTCTTGATAGATTTGAACGTGTCGTACACAGTGCCGTGGACACTTTGAGTCTGGACGTGTCTACTGACTTTAATGTTGTCTTGCCAGATTGATATGATAGCGGCTTTCAAATGTCTTCGTTCTCCCTTCAAGGGGTCCTCAAGCTTCGAAACCTTGAGGGGGTCTCGGACTCTTTGTATCGTCTTAACGTTGGTGTAGTCAGTGTCGTAGTTAAGAATAGCCTCCATTTTGTCGAGGATACCGAGTTGCAATTTCGTCTCGGTTGGCTTCTTTACGAATTTTTGGCTCTTGGTACCGCCCTGCTTCGTTATATTAGAGCTCTCCGCCTCACCCTTTCTACTTTGTCGTTGGGGACTTAAATCCTTCCCGGTGGTGGGCTCAGCCTTTTCGAGCTCTTTCCTGAGAGAATCAATCAAGTTCTTTGCTTCTTTTTTGTCATCCTCTTCGACTTTGCACTCCAAAAGCACTCGAGGTAGTCTATGGTATATCAACAGCTGAACTAAGTTGAAATCCACTGGATGTCTGTTCAAATACCCCCTTGGGGGTTCCGGGCCGACGAGGATGGATTTGGCGAAACTCTCACCATCTTTTCGTGATACGAGCCAGCACAGTAGAGTCTCTCTGTCGTCTTCCTCGCCTTTAAGCCGTTCGATTACTTGTTCCAAGAAGCCTCGAAGGGGTTTTTTGGATAAGTCATTGCCGGTTTCACTGTCGGAACCATCTTCAAGCGCCGTCTTTCCCTCATTGTTTTGTAGGAGGAGAGCTTTCTCAGGAACACTCTTAATGACTGATTCAGCCATAGCGCGGATGTTTTTGTCATTGGGATAGTTCTTGGCCGAGAGCATGATATGGTGAAGCACTGTTCGACCATCGCAGTCCTTAGAGCTGTAATCGAGATCTGGGATTGCTTTGAGGAGTTTGTCCAAAGATATTCGTGCTCTCTGGGCGTTGTCCGTCTTGACAACACATAGTGCCATAAGGACTGTCGTTTCCTCCTTGTCCGCTTGGTTTATGATTTCTTTCTTAGTTTGGCCACTTTCCTCCTCAAGTTTACGAAGCAGGCAGTCGAAAATGTCGTAGGAGCGCCCCTTGACAGCCGTCATTAATGGCGTCCAACCGTCCGAATCCGGGAGTTCAAGATCTGCGCCTTTCTCCAACAGAATTCTGACCGCATTCTCCTGTTCGAAGTAGACGGCCACATTGAGTGGCGTCCAAGATGCATTGCTCTCCTGTTTATTGAGGGTTTCCGGAGGGTCGAGGAAGAGTTTTAATAACTCCTTTGAACCATCCCGGGCCGCGTAATGGATCGGGTACCATTCATCAGCATCTTTGCAATCCTCTAAATCGTTGTAAAGAAATAGCGGTTAGTTCCTTTGCTTCAACGTTGCTTTCATCACAGGTAATATAGAGAGGGCGCATGTCATTACCACTTGTGAAATCGGCGCCAAGACTGATGAGCCGCTCAGCAATCTTGGGGAAATTTTGCATAAGCGCAATGTGCAGAGGCGTTTGATAGGGGTATTCTGAAGAATGAACGTTGATCATGCCCTTCCATTCACCTTCAAGCTTGTCGAGCTTTGGCGATTTCTCGTCATCAGACTCGAGTTCTCGCAAGGCGCGATGCAAGGCAGTTTCTTCTCGTGCAGGCTTCTTCTCATCTCCCTCTTCTTCCTTGTGCCCTTCTGACGACGCAGCGGTCTGAAGCTCGGCCGTGGGCTCCTCCGCAGGCGGAGTTGCTGGACGGGCATCCTGGGTACCCTGGGCATCATCGTCCGGCGGTTGATTTTGCGAGTCGTGGGCCACAGCACTCGTATCAGGTTCATCGCTCATCTCGTCGTCCAAGGATTGGGTAGAATATCGTTTGCAAATTTCTGCGTGATGTTTGAGGTCCGCTGCTCAGCGTTTGAGAGTCTCAACATCTCCAAGGTGAGTAAGAAATGAACCCTCGATGAGGATCAATGGACAGAGAAAACTTCTGCCAGATCATGTGCTAGTTCGGGACAGTAACCAGGGCACTCCGAGACCCTTTCGCAACCTTCTCCTGTTTGAGAGAGACGGCAAGTCTCTCGTAATGGTATTGGTTGCCTCATTTTCAAATGTTCCATCTCGCGTCATTCATACGCGCGTAGGAGAACGGAAAGCTGCAGGAGCTGAAGCTGCATCGTCAGCCCTGCGTTCCGTTCTGGGGAATTATTTGCTTGTTGACCCACTCGGTAAGCCTATATGCCTGCATGTTGGTTCGGATACGCATACAGCGCAGTCTGGGCGCGGCTAAAACATCTCCACCGCCAAGGCACTGTCGAACTTGATCAGATCTCCAAAAGCCTCGCTGACAAACTATTGTTGAGGGCCAGGCAACTTGAAAGTGATATCTTACACAAAGATCGAAATTTGCGATACCCTCGGCATATCATCTCCCCGCGGCTGTGGTCAAGGTTCTCCAACGAGCTTCCAAATATGGCTGCAACTCAGATTGGCAGTTGTTGATATCCACGCCGGCTATGGCAGCCCGTACGGTCTCAGTGGTGAAGGAGGTCAATTTCATGATATCAATCGCTGCTTGAGCCTGCGACTGCTGAGGCGGTTTGATACGGCAGCTGTGATTGGCCCAGTCACTGTGTTCGCCACACCGCCTTCCGCTGCAGAATTCTGCGGACTGCACAGATTCCAGGACCTAGTATGGTTGATATGCATTACATAGTGAGGTCTACTCAGGTTTTCAAATCAGTGTCAAGACTTACAGCATTCTGTTTACAAGACTTTGGCACCTCTATTGGAAGCCATGGGGGAGAGGCAGTAGATAGCGAAAGATCAAAATGAAGGCTGGCTGTGACTTGACTTCCAAACTGATCAGCGGGCGACGATCACTACAATAGAATTCTTGGTTGAGAATGCTTGTGAATTCCTTGAATCCTGTAGAAATTTGGATGCTACTCTAAACTATAACCCAGATCGAAATACCTCCAGCTTCTCAAACGAAAGACCGGTGATAGGCGTCGGTGACTGAGTCTGTCAAATGGTGCCGCGGAGATACCGTCCACTCAAGACGTGTTCGAAGTTCGAAGCATCGAGGTTGTCCTCGTGTTTATCGAACATTCCGTCGCGGTGATCAAAGTCGATGGTGAAGAGCTTTCCAGTTGTGATGTTGTAGAAGCAGTGCTGAGTGTGGCGGGGGCCAATATTAGCAACAGATCAGGCTTGGAAAGCGAGAAAAGACAACGAGATTTCTGGACCATGTCCAGAATAGAGCGTTCAAACATGGTCTTTTGACGGGGTAACAGATTAACTCAAACTAACCTTGTGCTTAGGGTACGGGATTACAAGAGAACCGTTGCTGGTGGTGCGGCAACCTATGAAGACGGCACCCACCAGGAATTGTACACCATGGCGGGACTTCTCATCCCCACTGAACTTGTCCAGACCCAGACGTATCATTCTGCGCTGGATGTGGGCGATGATAGACTCCTCGTTGCTGGTGATGGAAACGAACTTTTCATGCGTGAAATGCGTCACAAAGGCGTTGGACAGTCGAATCGTCTTGAGGCGCGGGAACTCGACAAGGAAACGGTCAGGTCGTGGATCGCGACGTACGTCGCCCAAAACGCCTCTCAGGTGTCCAACGTGCGCCTTGGCAAAGGGGTCCAGCAAGCGAGACATGACGTCGATGCTCTGGCCACCAGAGTCGACGAGGGACTCGGCCCAGTACATGGAGCGGGCCTCCTCGTAGATTTGGCGGCAGGTGAGGAGGATGCTGTGCTCTGGGGTCGCGTTGAAGCCCTCGGGACGGACAGGGTTGTGGTTGTAGCTGTAAAAGGAGACGTAGATGAACTCGGAACCCTCGAAGACCTTGATGTAGATCTTACAACGCAGTTCGAGAGGGAGAGAAAGGAGGAGACATTTGCGCTGAGCGCTAGTGATGTAATTGTCGCTTTCCATCGTCGCGGCTGATGGTTGATGACTCGACAAGGCCTCGGTGGCGGGTGTGGTTTTTTGGAAGATGAAGATGGATTTGAGAAAAAGGGTTTGGTTTGGAAGGAGGACTTGGAATAATTCCGGACAGCGAGGGAAATAGAAAGTGCTGGAAGTCATGTGAGAAGCAGAGGCTTGGAGGCGGTAGCTTTGACGATGAAGGCGGGATAGAGGTTCACAGGAGAATCACATTCTTACGGAGAGCTTCTAGTTGCCATAGGCTATAGGAATCACGGAGGAGGGCTCAGGAGGCTCAAATTTGATGAACTCGTATAGGCTTCAAAGCTATGGGAAGTTGAGTGACCACCTACCTACGACTCTGTAGAAAGCTTTTTGCAATCCTCATTGTCAGACATTGAATGTTGCCAGAAATCATGCTGTATTCCTTGTTGATTTCTTCAAGTTGAAAGCACATGGGTACCTTACGATCACAATATCACCATTTCAAGTTCCTAGCCTTTATTATCTTCTTCGGTGGTGACTTGATGTAGTCTTCTAGAAACGTCTTAACCCACCCATTCTGAGTCTTTTCCTGCAGACAAGAAATAGTCATCTATGGGATGGGTAATGATGGGCATCTCAGAGTCTCAAAGATTATTCTTACACTTTACACCTAGATGGTACCTTGTCGTCTCACTCTAGCATAATCTGTCCGATCGTGGGCATTCTAGGTCAGTGGAAAGCTAGAGAGTAAAAGATGCAAGGTATGGGGTGGGAGGAAACCTTGTCTGAGAAGAATAAGACTGGGAAGAAGAGACCGGGAGGAAGAAGACTTGGGAAGATGGTGCAGGCAGGAGTAAGTGGAGGTTCAACTACTAGCAGTACTCGTAGTGCAGCAATATGTGATTACAGAAAAAGTGACTGTTCCGCGTATCTCCTTGAATATCAGATGTAGACATCATGAGAGTTCATGGAAGTTAAATATCTCCAATAATGCCTAACGATGAGAGAGATGCGATGAACCCGTGGTTTGATTACTACATGGTACTGATGACAGATTTTTCTTCGCCTGTCCTTGCCCTGGGAGAAACACCTCTTGGGATTGTACCAATCAGAACGAGAATGTCATAGTCAAAGGCTCCATTCCTACTTGGCAACAATGGCTTCGCTTGCTTTTAGCGCACCAACAACAGTGAAGCAGATCAGAGGTGATACGATGTACGACATCTGAAACTTTGTTAGCTAGTGTTTCACAACTTGGAGTTGGCACCTTCTCAGACAGCCTCCGGGGTGTACTCACAGTCAGAAACTTGGCAACCAGCATCTTTAGAGAATCCTCCGATCCGTCAACGTCCGCCAGAGCAGACAACTTCATCGCCGGAGGCCCAGTCGGCATAAGCATCAAACAGAACCACAAAAGCGCGTCCTTGGTCACCAGGTCCGTCCTGCTGGCCAAGAGATAAATCACCCCAATCGATATGACGGGCCACAGGACGAACCTGATAAACGTGACGGCCAAGAACGGCACCACGGGCACCTGGCTCTCCTTGGAATCGTCCCCGTTCTTGTACTGCAAGATCGCCTTGGAGAGCTTCACGCCCACGACGATGACCTGAAGCACGGCAAACAGCTCGCCGACGTTCTTGACAGATGAGGTGAGCCAGGCGCTGAAGTAGCCGCCCTCCTCGGGCTCGTTGAAGAAGAGGCGGTGGAGGGCGGGGACGAGACCAAGAAGGGCGCCAATGAGGGCTCCGATTACAGGGGCGTTGACGAAGCTGTATAAGAATTCGAGGATCGAACGGGAGGTTGGAGACAGGGAAGACCAGTATTTGGTTCCCTTGCCGTAGACGCGGTACTGCGTGCGGGTGATTCTTGTCACGGTGCGGTCTGGCAGAAGTGAGGTTTGCTCGTTGTGCTCGATGGCGTCCTGTTCTTGAGATTCAAGATCGTCTTCGCCTTCACTCTCATTAATGTCACCGTCAGCACCCTTGACCTTGTCAGGGGCTTCTTCCTCGTGGCCGTTGAGAAGTTTTGGCCCCAGAGCAAATGTGAGCGAATTGCCAATCATGGCATTGACCAGGAAGTAGCTTTTGGCCTTGGTGACGACGCCAGAGCTGTCATCAATGGAGCTAAGGATTCCGGTGGCATCTAGGGACTGCACAAGCAAAAGGGGCAAGCTGGTGGTGTTATTGAAGGCAATGGCCGGGATGACCCAGTCCGGCATGCCAAACACCTTTGTCAGGACGAAGCCGATGCCAATTGACACGGTTGTGTAAAATATGGCCCAGACGACAATGGGTACGTATCGAATTCCCTGGTATAGGTATGGGTCAGTCAAGATCGGATGTAAGTTGCCGAAGGGGGGGTCCGGGTGGTGGTGGGCTGCGAAACTCACAGTCTCCAGATCAAGCTGCGATCCAACATTCGTAATCAAAAGGGCGGGAAGGGCCATCCTGACACAAAAGGTAGAAATCTTCTTGCTGCTGCCGTCGTCGAGGAGGCCATACTGGGCGGCGATGACACCAGCTGAGATGGTGAGGAGCACTGATAAGGAAGCTTGGAAAGCCCCCAGGAAGGGGACGAGGATGCTTTCTGTAGTGCTGTCTGACATGGTCTCTACTGGTCTTTCAGTCATGGAACAGCTGCATGGCGAACGAGGGAAGCAGGACGGGCGCGATTTAAAAAGACTACCTACCTAGTCGATTGAGACACGCGACAGCTCAGCCAGACCTGTTCTTGCGCAGGGACAGAGGGCTTGGCGCGTGCACTTGGCATCAGGAACGTGGACGTCACTGTGCACGGGCCAAGGACGCCCCTTGAAAGGTAGCGTCCTGATGATGAGATTGGGGTCTGGCTTGGCTGCTTCCGGGCGTTCATGATAATATGATGGCTATCACTGTGGTGTTGTTTTGAGCTGCCTCTGTTTTTCTCGAATGCCAAGCATCGCCGATGGGAGGCAGGGCGGTTTCTGGCCAAGGCGTGAGCGAGGTGTGTGCTTGCCATCCTCGGTGAGCTTCGCTGGAGAGCTTCCCGTCACCGAGGAGCTGCCGAAATGGAGTACGTACCTTTGTCATTCCCAGGAGCTGTGCGATGTCTCCACAAATAGCCGAGTAAAACCGAATTGGCGCGAACGTCATTGCCTGCAGGCTGCTCACCAATGGAGCTTCCGCTTCTCCATTGCCGCCCTCGGCCTAATCTCGAGCTCTACCGGCACAACGCAGACGAGTTCTCAACTGCGATTAGTATCAACGTCCTTTGCCGCGACTACACCCCGCCTACAACTTCTGAATTCTTTCTGTGACATATTCCACTTTCAGTTCTCATAGCCGTCTGAACCGCCACAATGCCTCCCCGTCTCGCCCCCCTCCGCATCGCAATCCGCATCCCGCGCACCACAACAACATCCTCAAGGTACACCGCATCGGCGGCGGGAGCATTCTACTCAACATCGACGGCCTCGGACTCCAATCAGCCGCTGATAACCGTCACGCAGCTCCCAGCGCCTGGGTCGGGCCACATCCGCATTCTCGAGCTCAACCGGCCCAAGGCCCGCAACGCCCTCTCAAAGGCCCTCCTCGCCCAGCTGCGCGCCGAGGTCGACGCCGTCCACGCCCAGTACGACCCGGAAACCGGCGCCGAGGTGCCGCCGCAGCCCATCTTTGGCGGCGCCGCCGGCAAGGACGTCAAGGGCCCCACGCGCGCCCTCATCCTCGCCAGCGCGGTCGAGACGAGCTTCTGTGCCGGCGCGGACCTGAAGGAGAGGCGGGGCTTCACGCAGGAAGAGTAGGTGTTTTGTTTCCCGCACATCCCAGCAAGGACCAAATTGAGGGTTCTTGTCAGAATATTTGAAAAGACTATTAACACATACATCGCCGCACAGGACCGACGAGTTCCTCCACAACCTCCGCTCCACCTTCGCCTCCCTCCAAAACCTCCCCATCCCAACAATCTCCGCCATCTCCTCCATCGCCCTCGGCGGCGGCCTCGAGCTCGCCCTCTCGACGCACTTCCGCGTCCTCTCCTCCAACGCCCTCGTCGGTCTCCCCGAGACGCGCCTGGGCATCATCCCCGGCGCTGGCGGTACCCACCGCCTCCCGGCCCTCATCGGCCTCTCCCGCGCGCGCGACCTGATCCTCACGGGCCGTCGCGTCTCCGCCCCCGAGGCCTACTTCTTGGGCATCGCGGACCGGCTGGTGGACATCACGCACGAGGAGGCGGAGAAGGCGGGCGAGGGCGACAAGGATAAGGGCGTGCTCCTCGCGGCGCGCAAGGCGGTGCTGAGCGAGAGCGTGCGACTGGCGGGTGAGATTTGCGAGGGCGGGCCGATTGCCATTCGTGCGGGGCTGCAGGCTGTCGCGTGGGCGAGGGAGGAGGTTGAGAATAAGATGTACGAGCGGGTCGTCGCTACTGAGGACCGGAATGAGGCGCTCAAGGCTTTCCAGGAGAAGAGGAAGCCTGTCTTTAAGGGCCAGTAGGGGCTATGTAGCATGTTGGAAAATATTACAGTTCAAATATTGGGACTGTGTAGCTATACGTACCTCAATTTAGCCTTGGAGCCTTGTGGTCTTGATTCAGGGCTTGAAGAGCGGCGAAGAAATGATGAGAATCGGCCAGCTCATCAGAAGAATCTCAACGAGTGCTAGGTTGACAGTTTCAAGATACTTAGGAGACAGAATTCACCAGCTTGTGTAGATTTTCATTGTAGGGGGGAAATTTGCATTCCATTGAATGTGAAAAGACCCACGAAGGGCATATTCAGGAGTGTGCGAGAGGTCCGATTCAAAGGCCGGCTGGAAAGAGGCCCACCCCGGATCCGTGTCGGCATGGGTGAGGCCCGAGAGCAGACGGAATTCGTGTGTGGTGGGTCCCCGGACGGCACGGATGGGGATCGAGATTCATCGTGGCGGGAGCTTCCGTGGCTTGACTGATGCAACACCAAGGTGATTTCGATCTTTGTCGCTGAAAATACTAGGTACTGCTGATAGTGCCAAGCTGACGGTCCAGCCACTCTGATTTTTTCAATTCGTTCTGCCCCATCCTAACTAGAGCTACTCAGTTACTGAAGACCGAGGTTATGCAAACAGCCCAAAGCAATGCCTCGAGTACTTGGTGTGGCCAGTGGTGTGATGAAGTGACCGGGCAAAGTAGAGATGGCGTCATCTTCTCCAGTAACGACCGCTCATTCCGCGCAAAGAGCTCGAGAATCGGGACCTGGACAGTACAAACTCTCCTAAGCACTGCGGCTGCACTTTATGTACGTGCATTGGGTCAATTGTCAAGCGGTTAGAGAATAATTGGATGGGCATCCGCGATCGATGATGTAGGTGTGATACAATTGTCTGGGTGGTTTCCGGGACGTCATAGCGCCTCTTTTTTCACCAGTGCCCCCCTGGGGTGCAGTCGGGTCAGTGCAATAGAGGTTCCAGACCGTGCCGAGCTACTGCCTCCCGTCCCGTTCCCTCTTCGCCTCAGGATGGGCGTCCCATGACATCACTGGTAGCTCATACGTAGCTCAGCTTCAGGACGGGCCTAGCTCCCTTGCTCCTCACTACCTTACAGTGTGAGCACAGAGTAAGCTAAGGGAGGTACGCGAGCGAGGGGTAGCTCCTTCCGGAGTTGTCTTGTCTTTCATCATATTTGAGCTGTCTGCCCTTTCTACATCTCAACCTCTCTTCTGCTATTCATCACAACACCAACACCTCCAAAGCTCAAACGAATCAAAAACATTGACGACGACTTACCCTCGCCAATACCCTACATCAAGCAAATAGAACCACAAAACACACAATCGCAATGTCTTTCCTCATTGAGACCACCGGCCGCCGTCTGGCTACCCTCCCCCGCGTCGTCCCCAGAGCCGCCGTTGCCGCTCCCCGGACATTCACCACTTCCTTCACCGCGCAAAAGTCCGCAACGGAGACCGTCAAGGATGGCCTGAAGACTGTCGACCGTAAGGTCAGCGACAAGCTTGTCGACGGCATCAATGCTGGTGGTACGCTTTACCCCCTTACTTCGCCCACTCACTTTATACTTGACATCATTTGTATCATTCCCTCAAGAGAGATTAGAACTAACACAGCCTCTTCACAGCCAACGTCGCTCAAAAGGTCAAGGAGAACGTGCCCAACACCCAGGGTGAGGCCAAGGGCAAGGCACAGGAGCTTAAGGGCGAGGCCGCCGGTAAGATCAACGAGCTCAAGGGCGAGGCCAAGGGCAAGGCAAACGAGCTTGCCGGAAAGGCCAAGGGCACCGCCGACCAGGCCAAGAAGAACCTGTAAAATACTCTATGCGGGATTCTCCAACTAAAAGGTTCCAAAGATGGAATGGAGTGTGTATGGCGACGATTTCTAGCATCCGTTATGAAAGCTGCGGGACTTCAGACGTCCTTGCGAACAGCTTGTACACTATCACCACCTCATAGCATGGAAGGGTTTATGGTACCCAATGGGGCGTTTTAGCAAGGTCACATCAATACTGCGATTGACCATAATATAACTGGAAAACATACTTCTCTAGCTGTGACCTCTCTCGGCATTCCTTCCTGACAATGCATGGCCATTTGATGTCACATAGTAAGCGGTTAGAAGGGCCCAATGGTCCTACCCGTTTCTGTTGTTACATTGGCGCTTGTCACCCTGGCCAAATAAAATAATGCGACCTGTATTACGGATTTATCTCTGCCACTCTGGCCAAGTCAAGGATCACAGCGGCTGGTCTTGAGAGCTTGCAACAAATTCAATAAATCTCGATGGGCCGATAGTCCTTGGACACAAGCAGCGACTCAACTCCGTCTACACCTGCAATCGTAACAAGTGGGCACTATCAATCAGGTCCATGACTTCTGTCTCGTCTTAACAGATCAGGGCCAGTGGAACTTACCGGCTGGCCTGACGCCTCACATAACGTCAAAAGCTAAAGCCACCGTTAGTTGGCCCTGACGGCTTACCCAATTCAGATGAACTGGTCCTAGACCAGACCTCTGATAGTGATAACTGAGAGCTTGTGCAGAGGGACTGGACAAAGGGGCGAATTTGCTCGACCCCAGGTAGCTCAGCTCACGACCAGGACTCCATGCAGGTTTGGACGGAAACCCTGGCCCATGATAAGCATTGTAACTAGGTACAGATTCTTCAGAGCCTCTGCTACACCCAAAATTACTTCTGAATTTCATGGGAAGGGCATTCAACGGGAGGCTGAGTGTAGGCTCAGAGCTCCTTTCAAGTGCTAGTCGCGGAAACTCTGAGCCCGAGCGAGCATACAGTCGAAATGCCCACTGTTTGCAGCTCATCCACTGAGGTTAGAACAGGAGATAGAGCCAGGTCAAGAAGCTTGAGTCTGAGACTCGAACATCGTCATGGGTTCTTGATCGCTTAACTTGAAGTAGTTGAACAGATGTGCCAGGCTCCGGAGCCAAGCCTTTTTTGCGCAATGAGTCGAGTCGACAAGAAGGAGAGGTGAAGAGACTATGAAAAGACTCTCAGAAGGCAGTGATTTCCCAAACGTCCGCAAGAATACATGCAAGAACTCGATATATTGGGTGCACAACGTTTTGAAAGTAAGATATTCCGCAAGTGAGATACGAGAACAAGATCACCAATGGTAGGTAAAGTCTTATGGGCGCGGTAAGGCTGCCTGGTTTCAAAAGAGACGCATGAGCAGTAAGGAAGAGCGCGAGCGACTCTACAAACCAGGCCGTTACAGGCCCGTTCGAACTATGGAAGCACCAGCGGACATATCGCCAGGCTGAAAGGCTTGGAGCAATCTCTAGCTCTATTTAAGCCTCATAGAATTAAGAAGCTGTTCGAGTACCGCAAGTTCATCCACCTCTGGAATAGTTTCCTCCGGTTCAACCCGGAGGAGGGATATGACTGAAGCTCATTTCTGCTTCTAGAATTTCCTATTCTCCTATGCTATTTCATAGCCGCATTGTTTCTTTCGCTAGGTGCTCCATCACCCAACATCTGACAACGTCTACGACGTAGAATCTTGTTATCACCTCTTATCCATAATACATATCTACAAACTGGAATCGGTCCACAAGCCGCCCAGACTTTCGAAGATGGCCGGCACATCAATTCGAACATCCGTCGGCCAACCAGACCCTTCTTCTCGACGCTTTCCAGCCGTCGTCCGGCAGCAACACTCGATGCTGTTCCATCGAAAGTACACCATCCCCTCCGTGACAATATGTCAACATAATGCAAGTCTTCTCAGTCAGCAGTGGGACGGATCGCTTCTAGTGAACCCATATTATACCAGGTAGTCTGTGAGGTAGAACAAACGGACCGGCACGTGCTCGGCCGAGAGATGTGACAGACGAGATCAACGTGGATGTTTCGGTTGAGGACTTTCAGAGTTGGGCGCGACTCAATCGTGCAGGGCTGGCGGATACACATGGGCAGCCTTTTCATTTCAATTCGTGGATCGTTCATGGCGAACAACTAAAAAGAAAAGGGCAGATTCGCAAAACATCATCAAAGAGCACAGCAAGAGAAATGTACCGACAGAACCACCTCCCAACCCTGACATCCCCCACCCCCTCCCATCGTCCCCCAGCAAGCCAGAGTCAAGAATTCGGGGCAGATAGCAGGATGACGTAGGAAAAAAAAAAGGCCGGGAGAGCAAATGGTCGATTCGCAAACCGAACCACCCATATGCCCCCACCCATAAAAGTCCCTGTCCTTAAAGCAGGAACCGTCGGCATTGACGCCCCCATCATGGAGTCTCTTCCCCGACAACACTTCATCTTGCGATCTTGTGCCTTGCGGATCCAAATGTCCCAGAGGATGTGAGGTCTGTTTGATGTACCGCTCGTAATACAGAGCTGGATCAAGGATGAATCTCTCCTTGCGCTCCACCTTGACGTGCGGATTTGCCACGATCCTTAAAAGGCCGTGACGAATGATGCGTTGAGGGGAAAAAGAAAGAAACAGAGGAAAGCCCACGGAGATAACATAGCGACGAAAAACGATTTGGCGCATACCAGGAACAAGCAAGGTTTGGGTCGGTTACCGGGACGGCCCAGGGGGTATCGTACATTCTGGTCTCGTCTAGGTCAGGTCTCGTAAGCAGCAAACATTAGTGGAACGAACGGTCCTGGTCTTCCTCGAAGAAGACCTTCTTCCGTCCGCTACCCCGGTCGTCTTCCATATCCTCCAACGCACGATCAATCTCCAGGATATCCAGCATCTCCACTTCGACGTCTCGCGTCGTAACGTCGTCCTGTAAATCTGCGGCAGCGTTGAGTGTGTCGGCGAACCCGAAGCCAGCCCTGGATCGTCCGATGGGAAGCGTGAAGTCGTGGGTTGGATCTTCGGCGTCGACGCTATCGCGAGCATTGGATTTCGCACGTAGGCTTCTCGTCTTGTTGACGCTCAGATTGAACGACACGTTTCGGGGCTGGTCTGGCCGAGGGTGGACAATAATGGCGCTCGGCAGCTCTGGCTTACCCTTGTCACCAAAGAGACGACGACGCGTCGAGACAACGGTTCCGATCTTGGTGCCAGGGGTGTCCTCAGACTCGTGGACTATCACCAATCGGCTCTCGCCCATGATAAGCACCTCGATCTGCAGGCCCCCATCGTTCTCCTTCAGTCGTGCAAAATTGACAGCGGCACCCACACCGCAGCACCGCTCTCCAAGAAGTCCGGTGGACAGGTCGTGTAATCGGATCATTCGGGTCGGGGTAGTGCCGCTGAATAGGTTCACTCCTCCACCAGAACTTCGGCGCAGCTGCGCATCCCAGAAGCGTGAGACGGCTGGGATGACAGAGACATTATCCAGTCCGCCGATCCAAAGCACGACGCTCTCATCAGCCGAACCGGAGCCTGAGCCACTGCCGGGCAAAGGCGTCACAACAATGCCGCCTCTGACAGACACAAGCCTCTCCAGTGAGCCAGCCGTACTGAGCGAAGCTGCTGCGTCACGTCGGCTGTGAGGCGTCAGAGGCACAAACTCGCCGTTGCCATTGGACCTCGGTACGGCTGTTGTCGTCCGCAAAGGCCCGGTGCCTTCGACGTGGCCAGTAGCACTGAAGGCTGTGATTGCGGCGCCCTTGATGGTAGAGCTATTCTTGCCCATAATAGAGGCGCCGAGCGGGCTAGCACCATCCACATCCCAGATGCCCCAAGTGCCATCGGCGAGCAGAGCGAGCACGGCTCTACCGTGGGCAATCCAAGCGGCATCAAGGATAGGTTTCCGCGTTGATGTTGGGCGGGTGAATGGTTGGAATAGAGAGAGTAGCCAGGATCCTTGGCTAGGGAATGGTCCCGTAGCCTGGTCGTCTGGGGGGAACGAAGGTAGTGCGTAGTCGTAGATGCGGACAGCGTGCGGAGAAGCTACTGTAAGAATTTGTGTAAGATGCGTAGGGTTGAAGGAGATGCTGGAGAGGGGGGTGGGAAGGTACTCGGTCTGGAAGGGGTTGATTCGGCCGCTGGCTTCGCCTGGCTGGACATCAAGGGGAACATCCCAGAGGCGGAGGGTGCCAGATGCCTCGCGGGTATGTGCGGCGACAATGAGGCGAGACTTCGGAATACTGGGCGTTCCGGTCTGTTCTCGTATCCGATCGGAGCTCGATGAAGCTTTGGGCCTGGTTAATGACATGGCAACGCCCTCGCTCCGTTTGTATTGGCCGCCTAGAAGAACGACCCTCTCCCCCCATTGACCAGAACCAGCTTTACCGGCCAGAAGATTAGACATCAGATCAGGTCGTGCCTTGCTCTCGGGACTTGGTGGTGTCAGAGGAAGAGTCACGACATAAACCTCGTTGGTCGCGCACGCCACTGTGAACACCATCTTCTCCTTGAGAACATCGGCTCCTCCCCACGCAGCATCTTCGGCAGGGCAAGGCGTCATGGGCAGGACGGCAAGATGCAGGACAGATGTGCCAAGAGAGAGGTCGAGAGTCTGGATGATTTCGGGGTACGGCCCATCCTCCTCGGAGTCTTCAAATTCGGGCTTGTCAGTGAACGGCGTCGATGCCTTGCGTGCCTTAGCTGCTGGTTCGTCGTCATCGGAGTCGATGATCATGACGGCATCGTCTGGTGCTCCATTCTGCTTCTCATTGGCGGACTTTGCTTGTTGCTTCTTTGATGGCTTGAAGCGACGTCCGCCTCTCCATATTATCGTAACGCCATTGTCGTGGCCATAGAGGAGGATCGTAGCTCCTTGGGGGGACTGGACAGGGTAGGTCTTGATATCGTTAATTCGCCTCGAAAGGTTGTAGCTAGGATCCAGTCAGTGTGTTGCCTCGGAGAGCATTCCCAGAGAAACCTATACAACATACGTGTATTGTGTATTTTGCGACGTGCGCCGGACTCGGGGCGTTGGCTGAGGGGCCATAGCTGCCCAAATATAGAGTTGTTTTTTGCTGGAGCTTCGACCTCGGCTGATTGTCGTGATTGGCGTAGAGAAAGAAGGACAGTCTCTTGATTTGATAGCAAGTGGATCAATCGAGGCGAGGACTAAGGTAGCCTGGCCCTTGAATATCGCAGTGATCGAAGAGCGTTGTTTTCGCGCAAGCTGCAGGTTGGTTCCTCCAGTGCTGGAGCTAAGGTAGGACGCAAAAACGCGATGAGCGTCGCGAAAAGCGTCGAAATGCTGTGGCTGGTGTCTCCACCCGGTCTTTCTGCCAATGTGGCTGGTGTGAGCGGTGAATCGGATTGTGGTAAAGCAGGATGCAGCATCATCTGGTACCAGCTGTCGGGAACCCCTCCATAGCTCACAAACTAGGTAGGTACCACCTATGATAATGAGAGCTCTCAACTGCCTCCCTCTACTGGACACCGCTTGAATAAGACGGAAGCGTGAAGGGAGGTCAAGTCAAAATTTAATTACATTTCTTCTTTACCGTGGCCTCCGTCTTCCTCATTCTCAGACCATAGCGACTTGAATTGACCTGACCCCATGTTGGTCTGATCTCAATTACCCAGTCCCCCCGCTTCTGATTATTCAAGCGGGCACACCCTTCGTGGTAAGATGTTGACCTAGTCTCTTCTTTCTTCGACCATAAGATAGTTTATGTATCGTATAGGGATACTCCTACTTACCTTCAAGCCCACGCAGATACCATCCGCTTTCCTTAGTCAACACCATAGCCACCACTTCTCGTCCAGGCCTGCCGAGTCCTTCTCGGCTCGCTTTTCGTCACAATGTTTACGCCAACCGTTGCCAACTCGACCTCCTTTTTCTATGCGGTAGGCAATACACCGGCCATCAACTTGACCAAGAACTTGCCTCATGGCATCGATGCCAATTTACTACTACTTGGTTGTGGCGATGTAAGAAACATCATTTACACGGCCTACAACGAGATTGGACTTCGTAAGTACTGTTTTAGCCTTACTAAAGTCAAGTTCACCTCACTAACTCCCCAACAGCTGGTCGCAAGCTGGATATCACAGTCAATGACATCGATGAAGCTATCTTGGGTATGTTCACAGCTCGCATTAGCAAAGAAGTATCTGCTCACCATCTGAAGCACGCAACATCTTCCTGTTTTCCTTGCTCATCGACAATGACAATGTCTCCGGAAATTCCCCCTGGAACTTATACTACAACCTTCACCTTGACAGCTCAGACCTGCGCATCTTGTCAACTCAAGTCAAGAAGCTCCTCGCAGCATCAGACTCATTGAAGTCTTGGAAAGCAAGTTCATACGGCAAAGTCCTACCCTTCTGTGACCAGGCCACCCTCGACGACGTTCGTGCCGTCTGGGTCAGCTATGACAACGCCGCTGCATCCGACAACATCATCGCCAACTCTGCTGCCCTGACAGCCAACCTCAAACACTCTCTCGAAATAAAGAGGATTGCTTTTGGCGATAGCATATCATTCACCGGTCTGCGATCAGCTGCTCCTGTTGCACTGCTTAACTCAAAGGATGTCACCGAAGCGTCTCAAGAGTTTTGGAAGTCCGCCGACGCCACACCCAACCGTGCCGTCAGCAACCCGAACCCCCTCTTCTATGCCTCCCTATCGAAGCACCACCTCTTGCACTACGGGACCGATCCCATCCTTGGCTTCCATCTTGCCGCGGCCTTCATCCCCTTGACCGACCAATCGCCTCTGAGGCCCGATCAGCAGGATGAGAAGTTCAGGGCTCTCTCAGCTGCAAAGACACAATTCCGAGAGTGGGCGGCTGCTTGTGGGACTCTGTTTCGGGCGAAGAAATTAGTGGTTCGCTCTGTTGCCAGTGAAGCTCTTGCCTTTTGCCACACTCTCCAGCATTTGGTCGTCACCAAGGAGACGTCCGCTGGATGGTACCGTCGCCAATTCGACGCCCGAGTCCTCTCCCTAGACCAAGATGTGTATGACATCAAGTCGGCAGCTCCGGTTGCATTCGACACCGTCGACACATCAAACCTCGCAGACCATTTCGGCACCTTGAATATCCTCGTATCGGCGCTACCTCTGCTCACAGCACAACCATGGTCGGCCATTTTCACCGAAACGCTCCTGAAAAGAGAGAACACCGCCAAAGCGGCTTTTGATAGCCTCCTGTACGGCCACGGGCCCACGATCTCATTGCTGCTAGGGGCTAGTCCGGTCGAGTACTGGACCAATGCTACTGCGGTGTCAAGCGTTGACGAGATTCTGATCGGTCTGAGCTCCAAAAGCATCGAACGGAAGGGCGACGAGGTGTCCCAGGTCCATAGCCGGATCACTTGGAAGCAAAGCAAGCTTTTCTCGGGAGTAAACGCCGTCGGTCCCCTCGCAATCGACCCCGAGGCGCTAGCCGGCATCTTCTTCAAGCTCTACCTCGAGGTGTTCGCGCACGAGAACCCCATGAAGCTGCTGGCCATCTCGAAATCGTCCGTGACGCAGCTCATCCGTAACACGTCCTACTCCCACTTCCACCGAGGAACCCTCGTCTCCCTTCTCCACTACCTAAAGCTACGGCTGTCCGTCGACAATTTTGACAGGACTTGCAGAGCCTTGCTCGAGAAGATATCCACGGAGAGAAGCCTCATGTTCACAGGCAATCTTAGACAGGACTTGTCTGTGCAGATGCACACCCAAGGGGTCTGCTCGGAGCCCTGGCTTCGTCAAGAGATCAAGCCCAACCGCAACCTCGGCGGCTTCGACTCCTGGACGTCAGTCCCAGAGGTCGTCGCCGTGACTCTCGTTGTCCCGCGGGAGAAGATTGCACGGGTCTTTGACGGCTCTGATCATGCAAAGATGAGTTCTCCCACAATCAGAGGGTCGTTGGTCTCTGGTGAAGAAGCCAGCCACAAGTGGCACAACTTTTATGACGAGGTACAGCTCGTTTTCGGCACCATCAAAACTAGCAGAACCCGCGATAGCAACGACTTCTCCGTCACCATCGACGCAGACCCAGCAGGTTGGCTTGGGAAATCCCCGCTCATCGCAACCTGTTACGTGCCTACTGCGGCGTTGCAGGTGGAACGCAAGACCTCTTACGTCCGCCTGGAGGTCCTGAGTTCCGCTCAAAGCATCGCTGTCTTCAGCAAGACCCTCGGCAGCGAGCTGATAATCTTCCAGGCCAAGTTGGCGGACGAGAACAGCGTATACATTACCAAATACATGCCCGGCCAAACGAGATATCCGGTTGCCTCTGAAGCGGCGGGGCTCGTAGCGGAGTCTGCTTTCGAAAAGAGCAATGACACAGAATCTTTGTTCACCGCCAACGCCTCCCAAAGCCAGGACAGAGTTGAAACCATTACGGGCCATCTTGATATCCTGTCTACCAAGGGCAAGAAACTCCTTGCCGACAAGCTACCCATCACCCTCGCACAAGTGTCTCCCTTCATAATTAACGTTGTGTTTGGCGAAAAGGAGCTGGTCTATCCTCTTACCTTCCCGACTCCGGTCGACGCCAGCGGGGCAAAAACTCGCATTGCTCGCAAATCCGCCTACGTCGAGGTCATCGCTCCCTTTGCCGAACCCTCCAGCGATCCAAACGTCAAGACGGCACTCAACGACTTTGTCTACCCAACCCAGCTCGCGCGAAGCCTATCAAACACCCCGGCCGACCTCAACACCCCGCACCTGAACCTCGACCGCCTCCCCATCATCAACGTCGCCAAAAAAGAAGAGACCCGCTTCCTCACCACGCTCCTCTCCTTTGAGTTCTCGCTCCGCGAAAGGGCACTGCGCGAACAGATCAACGCGGGGAGAGAGGCACTATCGCCCTCGCCGCGCCTCAACTTCAAGGAATCAATCTTCACCATGACCATGATCTCGTCGGGTCAACAGGGCGGCCAGACCGGCCTCTTTTGCCTCAACCACCCCGATCGCGGCGGCGTCCATATGCTCTTCTTCGTCTCCGCCCTCCGCCTCGACGCCGCCGCAGCCAACGTCGTTCTCGACGCCGCCGTCCTCCCGCTCACGATCCCCCTCATCAAAAAGGTGGAGCCGTTCCTGCTGCTGCTGAGAGAGCTGGAAATGGCCTCTGTCACCGTCAACGACGACGAGCTCCTCCTCTGGAAGAAGGCGCTCCCCGCCCTGGCGGAGCGCAGCCGGACGTGGAACCACACGTCGTCGTGCGAGTACCGCAAGGCCGGTGCCACCGTGCCCCTGTCGCTGGAACCCAGCGAGCCGGTCCTCTGCTCTTGCGGCCACGGCCGGTTCCCGGAAAACTTCATCGGCCTCCCCGAGTGGGATACCGCGTCAAAGTATGCCACCCGCATCGCCATCAGCCCGACGTTCGCCGTGCCGTTTGTGGACGAGATTGTGGACACAAACATGTACAAGGAGGTTGGCGCCAACGCCAGTGCGCCCCTGAAGGAGAGGTGTACCAACTGTGGCAAGTCGTCGACGGACGGCGTCGCTTTGAAGAAGTGTATGCGCTGCTTGAGTGCCAAGTACTGCAGTGCCGAGTGCCAGAAGAAGGATTGGCGGAAGCATCGTGGAGAATGTAAGGAAAGCGAGGCGTATCAAAAGTGAGCTCAGTCAGCATTCGTTGCGACTGAGAAATACAGAAATCCTTTCGTCGACACCTTCTCGGTACCCAGTCAATCTCCCCCCCCGCTGTTGTGAACTTGCTGTGGCAATTTCAGAATCAGACTCAACTGAGACTGCGGCTGCATCACCACATGCATAAAGCAACCTCTGGAAAGAATTTTTTGGGCTTCATCAAGATGTCCCTAAAGGCATTACCGGCAGGCCTCGAAATTCTGCTGTTCCTGGTGCCGACTGCGCCCTGGGAGCTTAAGGAAGGTCACATCTAGGATGCGATGCTGTACTGGTACGCGTTATCGATATTGTACAAGCATGTGAAATTGCGATATCTCCCCCCCTAGTGGTATGTAGCGTGCTAGAGCGACTTTCCATGATGGCCAGGCCTCTTTTGACGTGACTTATGAGGCCAAGGTAGACGGGCAAAGGCGCATAATTCTACCTCATACCTACAATAAGGAGATCGAGGCGTACGATGCTAAGTCGTACGGGTTTCCATAGCTCATGTACAACTTCTCGCGTAGGGCCTGTCTTGTGAACTCGAAAGCTACATCTTCCTCGTCCTGCAGATTTTGAAATGATTTTACAGTCACCCTGGCGTGAAGCAGCATCTGCCGCATAGGTAGGCGGCTAAGAGACAAACAGAGCCAACAACAAACCATCCAGACTCTTCCGCATGGCTTGATGGTCGAGATTTTTGAGTTGTAGCAAATGGCGTTTTGTCTTGACGTTGGTGGAAATAGCTGGAGCACCCTCACGTACCTACCTCTCTTGGGCAAGCATCGACATTAAGTTCTCATTTAAACTTGGTATTGTTTCCATCTACTGATCACTTATTTCCCGTCATCGATCTTTGATTGATTGCTAGCTAGGAAGGGCCCGGCAGCCAATGCTTGCAGCGTGATTCTCTTCCAATTCTCCCTATAGCAGACCTGGTACGATATAAGTCAGAATAACCAGGGTATATATATATAGCACTGAGCCACGCCGGCCCAAAGAGGGTGCACGAGGTTTCACGCCCCGGTCCCATCGAGACATCTTCCCGAGCGTTCAAATACCACGCCACGAAACGCGGTACTTGCTTGGTAAGGACGTCCGTGACAAGACTCCATCTCGGTACCAGAAAACACTGCCCAGCGGCATCAAGCAGAACAGACCTCTCCCGAGTGCCAGCAGCTACGTCATTCCTCCTCTCTGTCTCTCAAGCGACTCAAAGGAAGAAGAAGGGGCAAAAATAAAGAAGACCCCCGGTCAAGAAGCACACACGATCCCACAAGTTCAGACTCCACATCACCTCCCCCCCCCCCCCCCCCCCCCCCCCCCCCCCCAAAAAAAAAAAAACAACCCCCCCCACAAACCCCACCCCCTCCCCCCACCCCACCACCCCCCCCCCCCCCCCCCCCCCCCCCAAGCCAGCCCTGATGTCATCACCAAACAACCACAATAGCAACCCGCAGCTCCCAAAACTTCAAGAACTCATCTTCAGCCTAACTCTCCAGCCTCCAAATAGCCCTTTCACAAGGAATCCCCACCAATGGGGCTCCACGGGATTTTCATTCGTCGCCGTTGAAACAACGACGAGCCATCCCCAACACGAATCGATATGGATCCAAGAAGGGGGCTCTGTTGGCTCGGGCACAGGAATAGCATCAGGCCAAGAACAGGGACAGATAGGGGGACTATCACCATCATCGCTGTCACCATCCAACACATTGCCCATTTGTTTCCAACTTTCTCCAATCCCCCCCCCGGCCCTTCCAAAACACACCGCTTGCTATCCGAGGACTCCATGCACACAAAAGAAGTCAAGAACCAGCCACACCAGCCAACACAACTAAGACGACTGAAGAACCTACAAGAGTTTAAAAAAAGTCTATTCTTTTCCCTCCCATGTGTCATGTCAACCTCTGGCGGCCTGTATCAGCAATGTAACTGGAACTAGCACCGGCGATCAGCGTGGTCAGTCGACCGCTCGACCATATTCTCTGTATAAAACCACCACACAAACGGACCGACCGACCTTCTCACACACACAAACACAAGCTGAAAAAAATCCGAGAATGATCGTCAGGGGCCTTGACTTGACACACCTGTTCCCCAATTTTCTTTCCCCAGCGCACCCACACTAAAACCACAGAAAAAGGCTGAACAGCACCAACCAAACGTCCAATCCCAATCTTTGTCTTTAATCCCCCCTCCACCCCCCTTTCTTCGATTTCAATGCCCACGTGCTGGAGGCCTTTTCTCCCCCCCTCCCATCGGCCAGCCCGCGAACAAGGAAGAATCTTGCAGCCCAAGCTTAAATGTTGGCAAAGGGCCGGGGGCAGGGAAAAGGTTGAAAAGTTGGCAGTTGGTTACAGTACCTTACTATTATTGCTAGGGGGAGAGAGAGAGGCTCAGTCCGCTGTAGAATGTCAGGTGACCTCGTCACACACACAAGAGGGTTAATTGAGGTGCTTGGTGCTCGGAGCTCGGAGGCGGCGCTCGGAAGACGCCAGTCACTAGACGCGGCAGTCGGATTTGTGCCTACTGCAAGTCCACGGTCATCTCACTGTCAAATATCCTTTTTCACGGGCGTTCATCCAGTCAATGCGATCTGTGCGACCAGGGCAAAAAGTGATGAAATATGAGGTCATTGGATATTTGATCGATTACTACAGCCTCATTTCCCTAACATCGAACACGCTTTATCAAGAAAAAAAAAGTTTCCCCCCGCACCGGCCTTTCCCATCCTCGAGAGTCGAGAATGGGAATTATGCCCAAGTTGCCCAATCTTTCCTCTTTCTCTCTCGCGTCAAGGGGACGACCCCCAGGGAGGGCCAAGGCTGTTTATCCAAGATGATATTGAAGAGTTGCCCGTGTAAGATCCCTCCCAAGGGGGACCCCTCGCGTTCATAATATGGGGGGCGCCATGGTTACTATACACAAGATGGGCAGGGGATCATCTGCCACCATACTCTGTCGCGACTCTTCCATCAAATGTCGTTAAAATAGTTAATTCCCAACTGTCGCCGTGGTTTTTGATGAGCAAGATCTCGGCCTGTCAACCCCTCTCTTCGGTGAGAGTAGATCGGTGGAGTCGAGAGGTACCCAACGGGGGTGAGTGGTTGGTTGGCGGGTCGGGGAGATGTTTTAAAAGGTGTTGCGTTGCGATAATGGCGGGTTGTAAATTTGGGTAGGGGATGGGGGGATCGCCTCGATACGAAACCCCCGTTGATTGTTGGTTGATATCCAAAGGAAAAAAAAGTTGTCTAAAAGTAGGTTGCAAAAGGAGTGGACGGCGTAGGGAGGGTTTCGTGGCCGAAAGGGCGGATTTTTGTGTATGGTATGACCAAATATGGTGTGTCCAAAAACAAGAGAAATTGATAGATGTATCCAAATAATAAAAACCCATATCGTAATTTCCCCGAGATATGATACCCTACACCATAATACATATGAAATCCGACGACACTGGTCGCTTTTTTCGGAAGACGCCCCCGAGTAAGCCAGCGTCGGGAGATTGAAACACCTCAAAACGCCATTGATGCCAAAATGTGTAGATAGAAGTAATTTAAATAAGCCCGAAAACAGGCTTCTAGGTCGTTTGTCGTCATGACGTGAGGTGCTCATGCGTTGGTAACCTGGAGGTTCGGGGATTAGCTTGCTGGTTCATCTCATTTCAAATTTCATCTCATGACTTACTCGGAGAATCTTCCGCGAGTAATCTTGGTTGTCGGCAATGCTGCCATCGCTCATACGTCGGTGCGCCAGGGTGGGATCCATGCGGGAGTCGGTCATGGAGACGCCGCTGCTGCTGGGCGGCTTGGAGCCGCCGATGAAGGCGTTGACGGCCGCGTTGCGGCGGTGCTCCTCCTCGATCGCGGCGTTGCGCTTCCTGCGAACGAAGAAGAAGGCGGCACCGACGATGGCGGCGATGACGACGACACCGACGACAACGCCCGCGGCGATGCCGGCGACGTTGGTGCTCTTCTTGGGCGGCTCGGTTGGCGCGGGCGTCGTTGGCGCGGGGGGCGTCTCGATGATAGTTGAGACGACGCCGTTGGCTGCGGTTGTTGTTGTGGCCTTGCTGGTGGCAGAGGCCGTGGTCGTGGTCGCGATCTCTTCGTCGGGAACCACAAGCCTGATACCCGTGTTGAACACGGAGTAGTACATCAGATCATCGACACCACCGCCTTTGATCGGGGGTTAGCAGGTACACCAAAAGGTTTGAAAATGAGACGTAGGGCAACATACAAGCTTCTTCCGGGTAGTATGGGCAAGGGAAGTTGCACTTCTTGTCGTCGACAACGTCGACTTTTGGCGGGTACGAGTCACCGCAGTAGCAGTCCTCGCCGTTAATAGCAGCGACATTCTTCTTCTGGTTCTTTTGGCATTCCAACGTGCATGATCCGGTACTGATGTTCTCGACGGGGTACTTCTGCCATGTCGTTGACGTCGCGTTGTAGCATCCATGGTTGGTGATTGCGCCTGGCCTCGCGGCCTCACTGGGCTTCTGGAATCCTGACGTGGTGGTGGTGGTCTGGGCTGAGCCGAAGCCAAAGGCCACGGCGGCCAGAGCAGCTACTGAGTACTTCATAGTGAGTGTCGAGGGTATAACGAAGGCGTGAAAAGAAAAGGTTGAATAAAGGGCGATCTCGAATCGATTCCAGGACTCGAAGACGGTGACAGGTCTCGCGGGTTCGAGGGTGTCGACGGGTCTCAGGGGTTGGAGGCTCCGTGCGGTTCAGTCGGCCACCAAGAATATTTTCCCAAGACTTCGAAATCCAAGCAAGCGTCCTCTCGATATTCCAACCCAGTTCGATTAGTAGTTGCCCGTCGAGAGAATTGGGGGGATTCGGTCGATCGGGAGCGGTTAGATGATGGTTGATGTTGTTGCGTTGAGCGAGCGTGTCGGTCGAAGCAGGACCGTGTTCGGGTCGTGCGGCAAACAAGGCGAGTTGAGTCCTAAAGAACGTGCGGGCACAAAGAAGGCCTCCTGAATAGTT